ATAACAAGATATAGGCATATAACAAGACATATAACGATATATAGTTTTCTTTCTTTTATTATCCCGATATTCAACTTGTATGTTTGTAGTATTATAACAAGATATAGGCATATAACATGGCATATAATGATATATAGTTTTTCTTTCTTTTATTATCCCGATATTCAACTTACACATTTGTAGTATCATAACAAGATATAGGCATATAGCATGGCATATAACGATATATAGTTTTTCTTTCTTTTATTATCCTGATATTCAACTTACACGTTTGTAGTATTATACAAGATATAGATATATAACATGGCATATAACGATATATAGTTTTTCTTTCTTTTATTATCCTGATATTCAACTTACACATTAATAGTATCATAACAAGATATAAGAATATAACAGGACATATAACAATATATAGTTTTTCCTTCTTTTATTATCCTGAAATTCAACGTACACGTTAGTAGTATTATAGAAGGATATAGGCATATAACAAGACATATAACAATATACAGTTTTCTTTCTTTTATTATTCCAAAATTCAATGTATATGTTTGTACACAGGTCAAATATATAAATAATGGTTAAATAACAGAATATACCTTTATGTATTCTGAAAAAAAAATAATGGTAAACTAACAAATATCAGCATTATAGTAAATTAAAAGATAGTATTGGATACAAAATAGTATATCTTTTGTTTCCTAATACTATCCCGATATTCAACTTACATGCTAATAGCACTCTAGATGAATAAAGGTATACTAAAGATAAAATAATTATATACATTTTTTCTTCCTTTATCATTCTGATATTCAACTTACATGCCAATAGCACACTATATGAATAAAGATATGCAAAAGGTAAAAGAGTTATATACGTTGTTTCTCTTCTTTTACTATCCCAATATTCAACTTCACATAAATTGTATATAGGTATACAAAGTATAAGATTATATTTACTTTTAACTCCTGATATACATAGTGTTATAGCAATGTACAGTATATATAGCTTTCATTAAACAACAATTTATTTATTAAGGTTTATACACATATATTGTTTATACTATATTTTTAATAATACAAATATATAAGACTATACAAATTTAATTAATTGTTTCTTATAATCTGGCCAGGTTGAATTTTGAATTTTTTTTAAATTTTATAAAATTATATATATATAATTTAAAAAAAAAGCTGAGAGGCCAGGGTATTTTACTCTTCACTTTCCTCTTCCTCTTCTACTTTTTCTGGCTCTAACAAGCTTTTTAGAAATTCTATAGAGTTTGCAAGTGTCTCCACAACTTTATCATCGGGAACTTGATAGTTAATATTATCAAATTCACCTATATGGAAAACAAAATTAATGATTTGAATTATACATTAATTAATGTATTTTATCTAATTACCTAATGATATGTTAGATTCCTGGTAACTTAATATAGTTTCACCTTCTGATATTAGAGAAGGATTTTGATAGAGTGTTGGATTTGCTAACACTAGAAAAATATATATAATAAATAATAATTTGTATAAGTTAATGATATTTAACTGCAATTTAATATATTAGTATAAAAATTAGCTGATATTAGTATTATAAGCCAGCTGGAGTAGCCATGGCTAAAGCAATTTAGCCAGCTTAGCCAGCCAATATATTAGTATCAGCTGGCTAATGCTGCTTAAGATCACATGATTTAATAGTATAATTTAGGCCCAATACATATACCTACTTCCTTTGAATTACCTTTTTCATCAATATCTTTTGAATTACCTTTTTCATCAACATCTTTTAAATACTTTTTTTATCAACAACCTCTTTTGATTTACCTTTTTCATCAACAACCTCTTTTGATTTACCTTTTTCATCAACAACCTCTTTTGATTTACCTTTTTAATCAACAACCTCTTTTGATTTACCTTTTTCATCAACAACCTTTTTTGACATACCTTTAATATTACTAAATTTATTAAAGGCAGCCAGTTGACATGCTTTTTGTCAAATTCAAAAACTAGGATTAGTTTCATTTAGATATAATTAAACAAACAGTATTACTATCTTTACCTGTATTGCCTGAAAAGTTTTTTGATTGTGAATATATATTGTATACACTATACTGGGATTTACTGAGTCCAGCAATAGCTTCATAGTCATCATCAGAGGTATCTTCTAGATTATTACTATCATGGTCATTTGGATTATCACTATCGGGGTCATCTGGATTATCATTATCGGGGCATCCTGATTAGCAGGGGCATTCTGGTTAGCGGGTCATCCAAGTTAGCAGGGGCATCCTGGTTAGCAGGGTATCCTGGTTAGCAGGGGCATCCTGGTTAGGGGGTCATCCTAGTTAGCAGGAGCATCCTGGTTAGCAGAGGCATCCTGGTTAGCAGAGGCATCTTGGTTAGCAGGAGCATTCTGGTTAGCAGTGGCATCCTGGTTATCGGGCATCCTGGTTAGCAGTAGCATCCTGATTAGCAGGGTTATCCTAGTTAGCAGGGGCATCCTGATTAGCGGGGTTATCCTAGTTAGCAGGGGCATCCTGATTAGCAGGGGTATTCTGGTTAGCAGGAATATCCTGGTTAGCAGTGGCATCTGGATTAGCAGTAGTATCTAAGTTAACAGTAGCATCTGGGTTAGCAGTAGCATCTGGGTTAGCAGTGGTATCTGGGTTAGCAGTGGCATCTGAGTTAGCAGTGGCATCTAAGTTAGGGGGATCATTCAGGTTAGTAGAGTTATCCGGGTAGTGGAGTCATCCAGGTTAGTGGAGTCATCCAGATTAGTGAGGTCATCTAAGTTAGTGTAGTCATCTGGGTTAGTGTGGTTATCTGGGTTAGTGGGGTTATCTGGGTTATCTAAATTAGAGATATCGCTATTACTATCAGACATGGGGGCATTGTGATTAAGAAATGATCTGGATAGTATCCAATCTGGTGTATCCAAGAGTGGAGTGGGGTGATGATCTACTAACTCTGGAGCATTTGCCCACCAATATCTTTTGTATTTCTTTTTTATGGTAGATACTTTTTCCGCTGACTATAAAATATTTTTTAACTATAAGTCAATTAACAAAAAATTCTTTTTTAAAAAAAATATATATATATATACAAGCATTGATGAAGAAAAAAATTATATATATGGGCGTTGCCAAAGAAAAAAGACTTAGAGCTTTCGATTTTATTATTTATTAGATTAGCTATTGGCAATATATACAGAGTTAGTAAATAGACCAATTTAACTAATTTGATCAATGTTTTAATATATTATTAAAATTTTTTAATTATATTAATATTAAATTTTAATAATAGCTAAAAAATTAGTCAAATTGGTCAAATTAGTCCATTTGTCAACTCTGATATAATATATATATGCAATATTGGCAGTAATAACAATAATAAAATTGAAGCCTGAAGTTTCATTTCCCTTGATAGTACTTATGTTATTACACCATATATAAAATTGGTCTGAGATCAAAAATAATTACTCAGAGATAAGTATAATACCGATATTCATATAAGTTTAGATCTTACCTTCCAGGATTATAAGAGTTTATCTAGCACTTTGATCACTTGGTTATTGTGGTCATTTTCACTATCCCAATCTCTGTCTCTCCACTCTCTAATAGCCTTCTCAATATCAGTATCAGAAATTTCATCACTATGGTAATCCCAAATCTCTAATACTCATTTGATATCAGCAACCGCTTGTCTTCAAGATTTTTGTTTAGCTAAATTTTCATATAAGGAGCAGCTTTTCGTTTTTACTAAATGGTTAAAACCACTTCTTTGTCTTCGCATTTTCTAATAAAATAAATTAAAATAAATCAAGTAAAAATAAAATAAAAATAATAAAATAATGGTAATAATAATATAAATAATAA